TTAAAGATCAACCAGTGGATTCCAGTGGATTGAGTTTGGAGAGCGATCATGTCCTTTGGGCAAAATCAAAAGCAGGGAATCTTAAGTCATTTACTATCATTTACCATCAATCAGCCACTGTGTTCAATGGGGGGCACCCATTTCTTTGAGCACTACGCCAGCCGGATCCTGGGTGCCCCTGACTGACACCAGAACCCCACTGAAGTAGTACCAAATCACCTCAGCTGGGCGCGCCGCAGAGATTGCACTCGAAGGTGATCAGGTGATCTCACCAAATGCCTCGAAAGTTCTTGTCTCCCTCATGTAAGTCATGGCTGTCTCGAAATCTCTTGGGTCCTATTCTCATATTCTCCACCAGGCTCCACCATTCTCCAACCAGGATGGAGCTCTAAATACCAGGCATCCGACGCTCGGATCTGTGCAGTCTGGATTGAATGATGAAAGGCGGGCAGCCACCTTGCTTGTCTGTTTGGCACATCCAGTCACTACATGTCACTACCAGCATGCAGGAACAAAAATAACAAACTCGGAATCCTGCCTGAAGGATCCTGAAAGTTGCAAAGCAAACAGGCAATTCATTTTTCACGCATCTTTGATGCTCCAGTCGTAAAACTTCATGACCCTTTGGGCAGAAGCTCTCTATTCAATACGACGCGCCTAGAGTCCTAGAAACAGCCATGGCCCTGAAGCTCCCAAACCCCGTAACCCGAACCTGTGACCGCAGAGGCAAAAGAGCCCCCTGTAAAATGCGATGGGTGACTGTCAAAGGCTCCAAACCCAAGAGATCAAAAGTGTACAACTTATCTACCAATTCTACCAGCTTTGGAGCTTTTCAAGTGGGCCTGCTAGAATATACCACGCATACCCGTAGGTGGCTTGATCTGATATCGTTTGATCACCACCCAGGAGTATTGAGGGCTACGCTTGGCTATGCTACAGACGCAGTCGACCAAAGCCAACCACCCCTGCGAATTCGTCCCACAAGGCTAGGAATTGCGGCTGCGAAAGGCATTGTTGCGAAATGTTATAGCGCAAGAGGCAATGCCTAGCGCTTCCAGGATCTTCCAGGATATACATTGTGTTCAAATCAATCATAATAATTCGATTCCATTGTGTTCAAATCAATCTTATTCGATTCCAACACTATGGAGTGATCAATCCAGTAGTGCCCAACCAATGACTGCAGGTGGACGATGGCAAAGTGCCGTGACACGTGAACGACATCCGTAACTTCAGAAAAACCTAAGAATGTTGGGAGCCGCTTCGGCCTTGCACAGCCAGGAGCCTGTGAGCTGGCGGCTAGTCATTCTATATCTATGGTCGTAACAGCGAAGCGGCACATTTGGGCCTGGTCTCCGATAACAGCCAGAAAGGCCAATTCATGGCCCAGCGAGACTATTTCCAACGGTAGACATGGACAAAGTTGAGGAGTATGGTGCCACTTGGATCACTTGGGATGAAATCGTCATGATCATTGTCATAGTGTTTTTTCCTATTGTGTTTGCCTTGATGCTATGTATATCGGTTTATGCAGTAAGGCCAGGTATACCAAACCTGGGAGATTCATTTATTTGTGCTTCCGTTCCCGCTGGTCCCGAAAAAAACTTTCTGTCGCTCACCTGCTTTCAGATGGTCTGAATCGTCAGCCTGACCTGGTCCGGTGCGAGTCCTGGCTATGGAAAACCCCCAGCAAATAGGTGGTACCTGGTACGACACGTTGTTGTCGGTGTTCTTATTGCACTACTACTGTTGTTGTTGTTGTAGTTGTTGTTGTTGTTGTTGTTACTACTAAATTGTTACTAGATATAAGTTCTTCCTATTGCTGTCACTATCACTATCATTACTACTTTTCTTACTATGATCATTACCGTTATTATTACTATGATCATTGCTGTATACATCTATTAGCATATTGTGTAGTTATATAGCGATGTTCATCCGCCCCAGTCATACAGAAAATCATGGAAAATCACACGTTTTGACCCATCCACACAAATATTGGAAGCGGCTTGATCCAGGGCCAACGACGTGCCAACGAAGGTTTCAAAATGCTGCTGATGGCTTCGTGTCGATTACAACAGTGCCAATTGATTGAAAAATCCCTTCTAATGGTTAGTTCATAGGGATTCCCAATCCATGGAATATCGGAATATGATAATCCAGAATATGAATATATTGGGTACGAGATGGTACGAGTACTATAACATACTATAGCCAATCTATAGCCTCCTATAATCATCAACCAACAGGGCTCTTGAACATTGCCCAGATGGGTACCCTGGCACCAAACCGCCTCATCGCCAGCGTGGTCGCAAGGCTTCCTGGTAGTATGTACTGGTGACCAGAGGACTCATGGGCGACAGAGGAGTCCTTTCCCGAGTGCAGGGCGGCATCTTTACAGTGAAGCTGCTAAGGTACTTGATGATTGCTTGAGCACCTCATGTCTAGCACTGAAGTTGCGGTGTTTTACATGTCAAATTGGCAATTGGAGTCAAAGTGTGACCCAACAGCAAGTTTGGAGGTTCCCTGTGTCGAAGGGACTTGTTCTGCCATGGATGGGTAAGTCACCCCCCGGGAAACTGTCCTGACAGACTGAGATTGATCTGGTTCTAGAGTAGATTGTGATGCACCTCAGACTGCCATCACCAACCTTCCAAGTGGTTTGGACAGGCATGCTTGCTGCTCTACGATTTTGGGATGGTTTATACCACCCATTTATGGTGACATTGGTTTCGTTTATCCAAAACAATTGCGTCAATTGCTGTTTCTCCGATGCTCACAGCATAATGCACATTGCATGCAAAGACCGCATGCAGAAACACCCCCAGAGGTACTGGGTCCAGTTCTTCACAGGTATGAGAATAGTCTCAGAGGGTGCCACCAGCATGTGCCAATTTTTTGAATCCCAAGCCAGCAACTGGTCCAACCTCCAAATTGGCATCCCATGTATGGTTTATCATGATGATACACCATGATAAACCATGACAATCCCAGCAACTGCTGCATTCTCTGATCTTCAGCAACGGATTCTCCTCGCGGAAAGATGTTCCATCGATGTCTCAGAGGAGAGAGTCTCCGTGTTCTTCAAGACTACGCAGTAATATGCAACACACATAATATATAGATATATGCACTTATCATGCATGATCACATCACATATATGCATATATATATATATCATGTCAATTCTATATTCACCTTCGAATCTCCATATTAATATATATATATCTATTTCTTCCTATCGGTATAATATATATATATGTATACAAACGTATAATATCAGCATAACAATATCTTATATGGCAACGTTTCAGCCCCCGTCCTCTCTGTGCGCTAACCTCGGCGACCCTAGCGATCTCCTTGGAGACCTGGCCCGTTTGGGCGGCCCGAACAATCTCCTGGCCCTCTGGGCTTGGGTTGATGGAAGGTTTATGGATTGTTCATCCTCCAAATATATATATATATATAATATACATATCAAAAATATCAAAAATAATTCATGTACATAATATATATATATATATATGGCTAGGGGATCATTTCGGACGTCCCTGTTTTAAACATGTTTATTTTAGCATAACTTCAAGTTATATATATCGTATGTGACGCTTATACAAGAATAAAATTATATATATACATATATATATATATACAATTATATATAATTATATATATATAATTATATATATATATATATACACATGCATATGGCATAGATTGGCATAGTAGGCTTTGAATGGTTTTGAGATGTTTTGATCTATCCCCGTCTGACTTCTGTTGCAACAGAGTATGTGCTTCAGTGCTTACCAGACCCAGGTTGATTCTTCGAAGCGTACAACCTCTTCCCCACCAAACCTGTAGCTACATGAGGAAAGCCCGTTCTTTATCTCTGCCATATCCTGCGCAAAGCTCGCACAAGTTGACTTGCCGGTGTGCGAGCTGCAAATGTCCATGTTCATTGTTGGAACATCTCAAAAATCAAATGGTAAGGCACCAGCTTGAGCCCATGAAGTCCCAAAAACTCAACTCTCAACATCTGTTTACATGGACTCAAACCATGGCTCCTCAAGGGCCTCTGCTGTTCTTGACAGTTCAACCAGTATGACAGTGTTGTGATGTGATAATTCGTTCAAGTCTATCAAAGCTACCCTAAGCGACCATGAAAGGTATTCAAATGGGAACATTGCTGCAAGCACATGTTTAACTATTTAGTGGTACATGGAACCTGTAGCAATTGTACATACACAAATATGAAGATCTATCTATACACTAACATTTAAAAACACTGCACAACACAAGTCCAAACTGACTGCGTATATGCGTATTGTTGCATCCATTATATACCAATAACTATGATGCTGCACATGTACATAAATATATATACACATACATGCACATAGATACACATACATGGCATAAAATAATATATATATATAACATCATATAACATCATATAGCACCATATAACATCATATAACATCATATAACATCATCTAACATCATATAACATCATATAACATCATATAACATCATATAACATCATATAACATCATATAACATCATATAACATCATATAACATCATATAACATCAGATAACATCATATAACATCATATAACATCATATAACATCATATAACGTCATATAACATCATATAACATCATATAACATCATATAGCATCATATAGCATCATACAATATAAAATACCATAATATAACATAATGTACCACAATCAAACATAATATAACATAATTAATATAACATAATATTACATACCATAACAACATAGAATACAGAGTAATGACAGATAATACAATGCTATAGATTATGATATAACATCACATAACATGTCATGACATAACATAACATGTTCACTACATTACATGACATTACATGACATTACAAAACATTACATGGCATTACATGACATGACATTACATGACATGACATTACATGACATGACATTACATGACATGACATTACATGACATGACATTACATAATATTCTGTTCCCATACATACCCACCTACATACCCACCTACATACCCACCTACATACCCACCTACATACCCACCTACATACCATGCATACATACATACCATACATACCATCCCATACCATGCCATGCCATGCAATGCAATGCCATACAACACAATACAGCACAGCACAACACATAATTACTACCATACCATACCCTACCATACCATATCATACCATACCAAACGTCCATACCATACATACACATACTTGCACGCATATGATTTTGGCCCTATCTACACTCATTTTGGAAATTAGTCTTCCTTGCAAAACAGCGCTGCTTAGCTTACATCACTCGCCAAAATTCAGCAAGTTGATTGTTGACCCCTGCACCGTTTGTTTTATGGTTCTGATGTAGTGTCTGTGATTCCAGTCAAAGATACACAATACTACAGTCTTCCGAATCTCCGGACTATTGATGACTATTGCATACACATTCTCCCAGCCTTGTATATATCCATATATTCATCCACATCTGTTTCTAGGGGTTGCTGTGCGCATGCCGCTTCCGGGCCCAGCTTCCAGGTCCTGAAGAAATTGCCACCTGCGGTTCTTTTCCTGTACCAGGTCCGCAGCTGCGATTTCAGGTGCTCTCCTGCAGGTCCCGTTCATCAATGTTCCGCGGACGGACTTCAATCCAAAGGTATCCCCAAATAAAGACAAAGGTTAGTTATGTTAGTCATGGTGATAAAAATGGTGATAAAATGGTCTAAATAAGGGGTTATTCATGATCATTACTGGTCTAGGGTTATTCATGATCATTAATGGTCTAATTCAGGGGCGATTCATAGCTCCACCCATCAACTCTTGCCTTTTGGGGGCACCATTGCAGTTCCATGATGAGGACAGGACACTAGGTTCCTTCACATGTCTCGTTGCTAGCTATTTACATGATTATATAATTATATACCAAAATATACCAAAAAGGCTCCAAACAAATGTTCGATGGCCCAGGCTAGAAAACATCTAATAGATATTACATCATTTATGACTACATGTAGTACAGAGATTACTATATACATTTTGGACCATATTCGGGTGTCATGTACTCTAGAGGAATCAAGAGTTCTACCACGTGTGCCTTCATGGCCCTCCACAGGACCAGTCCTGGTGCAAGGGGGAGGCACGCGTACTCGAACTTTCACCGTGGGCGCTAGTGTCTCCCTCGCCGCGGAATCAGAATCATTCCGAGCGAAAGGGCATGCGTCCTCGCAGGTTGTGGCTTCAATGAAACCGGGACTGAATACACTTAGGATATCTTAGGATCACTTGGGATCACTTGTAATTATAGGTATACTTTGGTAGTCTTACAGTGTTGAGATATATTTGTGTGTTCGAATCAACCACCGGGCTACTTTGCGTTTGCCAATCTTTCCGGTCTTTCAGTTCATCTGTTTGACCGTTTCAAAACTGTTTGGTGTGCCCAACCTGTGTGCTAAGATCGCTTTCCAAATACTTCTTCAGCGGCTTGCACATCTGCTGCTTCTCGGTCAGAGTAGGTGATCCTGCCCTTCTGGAACTTGGTGAGGCTGGACTAGCTGGAGGACTTTGTGGAGTTGGACTTTGGGGAGAACTGATCGATTTCAAGCAAGTCTGCACAGACATCAACCAGGCCTCGAATTGATGGTCTTTTTTCGCTGGGACTGGCTTCGCCTGTGGATACAGCAACTCCTTCATGGTGCTGTCACCTAGCTTTTCAGAATATTCCGCGAGAGTTCGGGCTCTCTTTGTGGGCGCCACACTGCCAACCATCGTCTGGCAAAGAGCACCCTTGCTGTAGCCTGGGAGACCTAGAGCGATGCTGAGAGGCTGGCTGGATCCAGTTTGGGGGGAATGACTTTTTAGCAGGGGGAACTTATATTGTGGCCAAGGGCCTGGGTCACATCTTCATCCTCTTCCTGAAAGCTCGGATCACACCTCTCCTAGAAGACCCCTCGTATGATCTTGACTACAGCGATTTGGGTATAGCTCAAAAATATTCGCAAATGGGGTGACGGTACACTCACACAATTTACAAAGTTGGATAGAATAGGTCTTTCTGAACCTTTCTTAGTACCCGACCATCCCGGAATGGGGATCAATAAGTCAATAATGTTGATCTCCATTTTGTTATCTTCACGACTTCTCCACCAAGAGACTGCGCCACGGCACTCCATGTGAAGCTTTGGAGGCTTCCCCGATGGCAATGGCAGCTTCTCCACGGAGCCGGGGCGAAGGTGATCGGTAGGTCATTCGTTCTCCGTATCCCTTCAGTACCGAAGGGATCTCTGCAATCGCCCTATCCGCCTTATCCCTTCGCACTTTCTCCTTAGATTTCTGAGACCGTTGGGAAATGTTGAACATATTTGAAATGAGAAGCCCATTTCACTCTGTACAGTAGATTCTCCAAATCGGGGATTTTCGAATGGGAATTCAAAAAAAACGACTCAGCAAATCGCAGCCTCCAAGCGAATTCTCACCTTG